TTGGTAAGAAGTGTGAAATTGATAAGTGTGAGTCTTCCAAGATTGTTTGTCTACTCTGGGTCCCTTGGATTTTCATGTGAATTTTAGGGTCAGTTTGTCAATTTCTGCAAAAAAAAAAATCAGCTGGAATTTTGATAAGAATTGAGTTGAATCTGTAGGTCAATTTGTAGAGTACTGCTGTGTTAACAATATTAAGCTTTCTGATTTATGAACATGAGATGTCTTTCTATTTGTTTAAGTCTTTTGAATTCCTTTCAACAATATTTTCTAGTTTTCAGAGCATAAGTATTGCATTTTTTTGTTGTCGTTAATTTTATTCTTAAGGTTTTTATTCTTTTTGGTGTTGTATGGTTTCCTATGGCTGCTTTTAAAAATTACCACAAACTTGGTGGCTTAAAACAACAGAAATTTGTTATTTCACTATTCATAAGACCAGGAATCCAAAATTGCTTTCACTGTTCTGAAATCAAAGTGTTGGCAAGGCCGGCCGTGCTCCCTTGTAGGTTCACAGGGATAATCCATTCCTTGCCTTTTTCAAGCTGGGAGCTCCAGTCTCTGCCTCCCTTGGTCACATTGCTTCGTCTTCTCTGTGTGCCAAATCTTTTTTCTCTGCCTCTGTTTTATGAGGACACTTGTTATTGGGGCCTTGCCTAGTGATTTTAAAGAGAGAATGGAAGAGAAGGGAGGAAGCAGGACATGTTAAAGGTGAAATTTACAGAATAATAGAAATGATATTGGGTGCCTTCCTCCTGAGCACCTTCGCTTTTATCATCTCTAATTCCCAACCTCTCTAGGAAGTTCTCTTTCATTCCTTACCTGTGACCACAAATCTAGAATCCTCTATACAAATTAATCAGAAAACTTAATGTCACTTTTCCCACGAATAACTGGTTATACCACCTATTCTATAAAATCAGATAGTATCACTTCTCTCTCTTAAAACACATTAATGGCCGCCCAGTGCCATTAGGTTAAAATCCAAACTCCCTTAACTTGATTCATAAGGTTCTTCGTGACCAATACTCACCTGCCTTCCAGGCTCTTCTCATGCCATACTTCCCCTGGTTACTCCCATTCTTTAGCCACACTGAATTCATTTCAGTTCATCTCAGGCCTTTAGACATGCTGATCTCTCTGCTCAGCCCCTTCTTTTCTTGGCCTACACCAGCTCACCCTTCGAGCCTCACCTCAAGAGTCATTTCCTCCAGGGAGCCTTCCCTGACCTTCGGTCCAGATTAGGTAGCCTTGCTTTGTGCTCCAGGACTTCTTCCATCAAAGCACCTGGTACTTCACCTGTCATAGTACCTGTCACACTATACTATCACTGCCTCTCTGGTTATCTGCCCCTCATAGTAATCTGTGAGTTCCTGAAGTCAGGACTGTGCCCGCCACAAAGTTGGTGTTTGATCAGTGCTAGCAGAAAAAATGTTCATTCCTGGGTTATGATGAGGCATGCTCCCATTAATATGGTCATGCCTATTAACATTAGCTGAACAGTCAAACTGGAAAGAGCTGGGATCTGGAATTATTAGACAGGGCCCACTGACATGGGGCATACCCTGGAGGACATTGTCATTGCAAATGCTGGAAGGAAGTCCAGACCAGCCTGGCAGCAGATAAAAAGAGTTAGTCTGTTAAAGCTGTCAGAATCGGGAAGATATTCTAACAAGAGGGCACTGGAACAGATTTGAAAACCCAAGCAGGCAAGTGGTAGTAATAGATACCACTTATTGAACATTCACTGATGTTGGGGGCAACATCTATAACTTCTTTTTTCCTTGTCTTTACTGACATATTTTTGGTAAATAAAAATTGTATGTATTTAAGATGTACAACATGATGTTTCGCTATATGTATACATTGTGAAATTATTACTACAATCAAGCTAGTTAACATATCTATCACCTCATATAGTTACTTTTTTTTTTCTTAGTGAGAACAGTTAAGATCCGTCTTAGCAGATTTCTAGTGCCCAGCACAGTACCATTAACTATAATCACCATGCTGTACCTTATTGCCAGAACTTATTCATCCTTCATATCTGAAACTTTGTACCCACAAACTTTGAACATTTCCCTCACCTCCCAGTCACTGGGAATCACCATTCTACTCTCTGCTTCTAAGAGTTCGACTTTTTTAGATTCCATATATAAGTGAAATCATGGAGTTTTGTCTTCCTGTCTCTGGCATATTTCACTTAGTATAGCATCTTTCAGTTTCATTCATGTTGTTGCAAATGACAAGATTTCCTTCTATTTTAAGGCTGAATGATATTCCTATAAATAAGTAAATATATATATTTTACACATGTATTTAGTGTTTCACATTTTCTTTATCCATTTACCTATCAAAGAACATTTAGGTTGTTTCCATGTCTTGACTATTAGTAAACAATGCTGCAATGAACATGGGGTACAGATGTCTCTTCAAGATAGTGATTTCATTTCCTTTGGATATATACCCAGAAGTGGGATTGCTGGATCACATGTTAGTTCTATTTTTAATTTTTTGAGGAACTTTCATACTGTTTTCTATAGTGGCTGTACCGCTGTTGTTGTAGTTTTTTTTATAACTTCATATACATAATCCTAAAGCCAAGGAGTAAGTATTACTATCCACATTTGACAGTTAAGACTCAGGTTTAATGCTGAGATTCAAAGCAAGATCTTCCTGGTTCCAGAGCCTGTGCTCTTTTCTTTACATTAGGGCTTCTCAAACCTTACTGTGTATTAAATCCCCTGGGGGAGTCTTGTTAAAATACAGATTCTGTTTCAATAGGTCTGAATTGGGGCCTGAGATTCTGCAATTCTAACAAGCTCCCACTGATGTGGATGCATCAGTCTGTGGATCACTCTGAGTCACAAGACTCTGCTTAATACTTTACTTTTTTCTCAGAGAGGTTAGGTAACTCCCCCAGCTGGTCTATAGTAGATCCAGGGTTTTTGAATGCAGGTTTATTTGATGTCAAACCTACTCTCTCAGCCATTAAGATATGCTAT